AACAGATTCCGGGCTGTTCGGGTTCTCCCGGTCATTCCTGTTTCTTCATAAACTGGACGGCTGTCATTCATATTACTGCCATCCTTCCTCGCGGCACTGGGTCATGTCGGTAGGATTTGTTGTTGTGCCAGCGCGGAAGATGATGGGATTAGTCTTGTCAGTGCTAGCAGTCAAGCCTCAGACGCCCAACGAAAATGCGCACACACGCCCAGCTGGTATTCGCTAAAATTGCTCACTGGGTTCAACTTCGAAAAAAAGTGAGTCTCCGGGCTGGAAATCTAAGAACATAATGTTGTTCACGTGAACAACTGTTGTTTCTTGCCAAGCTCTCCCCTAAACGTCGGCATGAAACAAAAGCTGTTCTGGTGAGCAACCTTATCTGCTCTCAGATGTTCACTGGCTTGCTTGCAATTCGGAGACTTTTTACTTGCTGTTCAACCCCGATTTTGAAGTTCATTAGGAATTTTTGCCTTTAACATCCTTAGTCGCCCTCCTCATTATTATCTTAGCAATGGTAGTTAATTGATATGCGATCAATTGTGTCAGGCTCCGACTTAACTGCACGCCGCCCTAACGAGTCCTCCTCACGCCAGACCACCGGTCCGCCCACACAGAGTGCATGTGATGAGATGCACAGCTGTGGCCAGGCGCAGGACTCTACTACGCCAAATGCACGAGTCACAAAGCCAATAAAGTCGCACCTTACTTGAGACCACAATCCCATTGGTCCAACCTTGCACGCTATAGCTTGCCTTAAGTACGGTGAACTAGGTTTGCTCTAAGAATACTACTTTGGCGCTCTTCTTGTCGTGTTCTTCCTTGGGTGCTCACAGAAGGCATAATTAAAGGGCGATATCGCAGCCTTGGCCACATTTACAACAAATTGGGAATGCCGTTATTAGATCTACCCTTGCTAGTACAGGCGAACATGCGAGTCCCAGGAAGTAATGGAGAAAAAGCAGATGTGATTGCTGGGACAAAGGTTTCATTCGCCTGAGGCTTCGAGATCCGTTGCGCATCCATCAGCAGAGACAATAACAGAGCGGGTAATTCATACACAGGGAGTTTCAGTATTTACAGGATACAGTCAGTATGCTACTATGCCAGTTGTTAACGGCTCCTCCCTTATTGAGGATAGTTGCCCGCTTGTGTGCTAATTGCTTGATGGTCGATATGCGAGTCGTGACCTACTGAGCTATAACCACACCTGGTTAACTTGGACGTCAGGATTTCTCGGCCATCTGACGCCCGCGTTATACGACAGGTGAACAGATCTTCTAACACCAGTGCCAGGAGGTCAAATCGCCGAAAAATCCTTGCGCCCAAGTCAACCACGCGTGATTAAAGTTCAGTAGGTCACGACCCGCACACCGGCCATCAAGTATTTAACGCACAAGCGAGAAAATATCCTCGATAGGGGGGGGAGAGGGAGCCGTTAAATGTCATAAGTATGCGCTATCCAGACAGAATGATTTTTTAATTAAATGCTTCAATCTTCACCGTTTTCACTTAACTATTGCCTTTACTTTCCTCACTTTAGCTTCGTCATGGGTGGCTGGAGAATGGAGGTGATCAAAGTGGGCCTGTATTTGGCCATTCCGTTGGGTGTCCTCACCATGTCCAACATGCCGCAGTACTTGGAGCGCAATCATGAGGCCCAGCGGTTGAGCGTCTACGAGCAGACTGGGGTTAGTTATAAAGAACGGATCCAACCCTCCTACCCTTTCCCGTAACTAGTGATGTGCTCAAATTGTATCTGCTTGTGTAAAGTATGGCTGGATTGGGTGTGGCTGGCTGGTGATGGCTATTAAGTCAGAGCTGACCATTTCAATCTTGTTTTTCTCTGTCGGTAGCGTATTTCTGCCTATAATATGTGCTGGTCGTTGAGTGGCCGTCGGCGGGGCTCGAGAGCGAGCTCGAAAGCACAACCGGATTAAGAGGTTCCGCAGCGATCGGTGAGCGCCTGTCTACTATTGTGAATATTCTCCATCCAAAACAACGAGCCCGCGGAGCAGTGGTTAGAGCGTTTGATTCCTAACTGAAAGGGTCGAGGGTTACAGCCTTGGGGGTCGCTACCCTTGGAGTTGGGTATGGTTGGCTGATGACGGCTACTTAGCCTGAAGTAGTCATTTCGGCCTCCCTTGTTTTTATTGATAATGTGCTTCCGCCTATATACATATATATATATGCGTGTGTAAAATGTCACGCATTCCTTAATAGGTCAGTGGACATTTTAAGTCAGATCGTGTGTAGGAAAAATTCAGAGTGCCAACCAGTCTCACGTCGGCCTCGCCCTAACGAATCACAAGTCAGTGTATCATCCATTTAAGGCCATCACGACAATAGGGTCTGCTTTTTGAAAACTTCTGACGCATGTTGCCTCTGTTGGAGCTTTCCGATCGACCTAACAAACCTGTATTTGTTTCTGTGCAATTTCTGTGTGTGCGTGTATTGCGTGACACATACTCACTTCTGTTCTTTCCAGTTATTTTAGTCTACATTGAAAATTTTATAAACTGAGCCCCACGATGAACCGTGTATTTTCAAGCTATTTCTTCGTGATCGTGATCAGGACTTTTTACGCTATACACGCTTCGGTTGAACTGATATCTTTTGCGGGCTCATCTGCCTGGGCCCATAGTTAATTTCCCTCCAACGTGAATTAATACCTTTTCCCTAGGGCGCAAATTCTTCTTGACCGGCTAAGCCGTACGGTTATCCCTCCATTCGACTGTGCCACGTGTTTTTTGAATATCTGCATTTTTTAAGGTTGCTGTATTGTTCTCTAGGTCGACATGTCTCCAGGTGACCCTGAAACCCTTGACGAACTTCGAGCAAAGTTCGATAAGATGCCGAAAATTTGCAACCTCCACCGTATCAACCGATCGGCCGCAACAAAAAAGGCAGCCAGCGAAGCCCAGTCCCACTAAGTTGCGGTCTGGTCGTCTTTCCTACCCACCTAATGCTCTCATCTTCGGATTGTTGTTAACCTAACCTTCATCAGTCCATCATCATTATATCCCCTCCCCCTTTTTAACCACTGTTCTTCCGAAAAAACTATTACCTCCATTGCTGACTATACGGGGGTTCATTTATATCTTCATAAAGAGTGGGTAGGATTTACCGTTTGGTCTGATAACTGCTGTCCTGTGGTTCTTGAAAACATAACTTGTCAAATTGCACGATTTTCTCTCGTCCCAGGGCTGTTTCTTTATTCTGTATTTTTTGACTTTGCTATCACGAAAGAACCATGACCAAATAATGTCAGATTTCAGTGCTCTTCCAACGCTGCCTGATTATCAATCTTTCGCAACTCTCGGGATTTTTGTATAGCTTCAGCCCGAACCGTGTGTGTTTATTGTCGTGAGGAGTGCGTTCACCGAGCGGACCACGGGACATACTCATCCAGCTGCGCCGTGTGACTTAATATGGGCTATGTTGTTGTTGTACTAGCTTACTACCTTAACCTAGTTTGCCAGCAATACATG